TGTTCCCTTTAGTGTTTATTTCCTGTCTGTCTTCTTCTGCTGTTCCCTCTTCTTCATGTCTCTTCTACATCAACATGTGTCCCCTCTTCTTCATGTCTCTTCTACATCAACATGTGTCCCCTCTTCTTCATGTCTCTTCTACATCAACATGTGTCCCCTCTTGTAAAGAGACTCAGGAAAGTTTCAGGAACAAAGATTCTCTCTCTTTTTGATCCATTTCTATAAAAACCTGTCTGAAACAAATTCTCAGAGGGGCGGGGGAGGCCCTTATTTTCATCTAAGTAACAGACAGAGAATCAGCACTTTGGAAACAGGGCTGAAACAGAGGGGATTATGGGTAATGCTGCAATGATCTGTTTGGTGATTGGAGCCAAACACTTCAGAGACAGGTTCTGTTTATATCTGAGACCTGTGATATATTGATGAAAAACAGTATAATAGGGGACCTTTAATTATTGTTCGCTTCATGTAAGTTGGAAAAGTTGATTTTTTATTTTGTCAATTGGTATTCTGATTAACTCGGAAGGGGACACTTTATGTATTTGTCTATGTTGATTTCAAAAAGGTATTTGAAGTTTGTTTTCTTTCTACCACAGGCCGGAAAACTGGCTATAGACCGAGGGTGGGCTGTGAACGTGGGTGAGTGAGTTTCTAGTTCAGTAACCAAAAGAGATAATTAGATAGATGTATAGATATACAGTATACCATCGATACAGCCCATACTGTGTTCCCTTTAGTGTTTACTTCCTGTCTGTCTTCTTCTGATGTTCCCTTTAGTGTTTACTTCCTGTCTGTCTTCTTCTGCTGATCCATTTAGTGTTTACTTCCTGTCTGTCTTCTTCTGTTGATTTCTCTGATGTCCAGCGCTCTGTCTTTTAACCTTGTTCCTTCTCTTTTCCTCTTTTTATTTGTATATATTGGACATAGTTAAGCCATCATGAATCCAAAGTGTCTCTCCCTCCACAAATATAAAAATAAATATATGTGTTTTCTAACAGATGGAAACTAATGCTTGTTGTCCACAGCTGATTATAAATTGATCGGACTTCTTCATTGATATAACTGCACAAAGTCTCTTGATCCCCTTAGCAACGGTCTGTTCTCCTTAACAACGGTCTGCTAGGAAAAAAGAACAGACCTCTGGAATATCCAAACTGACCAATCAGAATCAAGTATTCGACTACATCGTGTAATAACCTGATTGAATGGTTATCATCCCATTTGTTCCTCCTTGTGCTGTGCATTACTGCTCTTCAAGCATTTCAGCATCAACTCGTTGTGACACAGGGGACAACACAGGGGACAGCTGCTATTGCTGCTACAAACTCAATAAAACCAATTGTTGCTGTTGAGATAAATAGATTTCTCAGGTTTGCTGTGGCATGCTCATATGACGTCCTGACACTGATGCTGATTTTTCTGTTTCCCAGGAGGAGGGTTTCACCACTGCTCCAGCGACAGAGGGGGGGGCTTCTGTGCTTACGCTGACATCACTCTGGCCATCAAGGTAACTGTTGGATATTTATTGAAAGGCATCAAGGTTTGACAAAAAAATGAAACATAAAACACACACCCTTTTGGTTCAAAAACACTGTTAAAAGTTCTAAATGAAATGCCACTAAATATATTCAGATTATAAGGATGTGTTTAACCCAAATGTACCGTCTGAAACCTTTACTGGTTTTTATGCATGATGAAAAAGAGAGATGAGCAACTTGCTAAGAAACACTGGTGTTAAGTACATTGTTAGCTCATTGGAAACACTCACCTAATGTTTGGAGAAGCCATTGTTTGTATGTTTTTGATTATGTGGAGCATGTTTAGGATTTCACTGTGCTGTTGTTTATTATTGTTTTGGTCGATGTTGCTATTACTCTAATTGTCATTGATAAATAATAACCTTTAGGTGTGGTTTTCACCCCTTAACTTAGGAACAGGTGTTGACTATGAGTGGAAGGGCAAACCATTTGATATGCAAGCTACCCATGTTACGCCGTATGAATCTTCAGTTAAAAGTTAAACATTGTATCTTCTTGGTCGAATGCACTTATCGTAACTCGCTTTGAGTAAAAGCGTCAGCTAAATCCAATGTTATGTAAAAACATTTTTATATATTACTCACTCTGCTTTCTTTCAAATAAAAGGATGACTAAATGGATGATTAGTGGGGGAGCACGTTGATTCTCTGACCGTTCATAGCAGCTGGCATTGCTTTACTTGGTCTAGTATGACTTGTAGCTTTTGATGGCTAATTACAGCTGATGTAAACCATTTTTACAGAAATAAGTGTAACGTTAATAGTTCCCTTTTTGGTTTGACATGTCGTTGAGATTTCAAAACACATAAGCAGTTTGGCAAGATATGGCATAAGATAGAAGAAAGTTACTCCAATGCATTCACAAATACTGAACTGTGAACGTGTCTTCTTCGGAGAGAAAGCAAAAATGTCCCCATCTGTTTCTCAGTTTTTGTTTGAGAGAGTGGAAGGCATCTCCAGGGCGACCATCATTGATCTGGATGCTCATCAGGTGAGCCGATACCATTACCTCTTTCTGTGTCAATGCTCAGTAGCCCACATAGTAGATTACCCCTCTTTCACCACTTCAGCCAATCAATACGGCTCCCTGCAGACCAAATTGGCCCTCACTGTCATCATCAGTGAAATGTAACAAAAAGAATCTCCTCTGGAAAACAGTTGAGTGCATACCAGCGTCAGATAATAACAGACCATCACTGGGTTATCTGCAGTAATGTCAGCGCCTTGTGTGTTTCGGGTTGTTTTCACTGAGATGTGTCTGAAGTGTCGTTACAATACACACACATTGCATAATATACGTTAGAGTTTTTCAAAAACAGTGCCTTAAAGTGCTTTCAGTTCTATTCTTGCTATATTATACATTTTTGATGTGATTCAGGGGCAAAAAATAACAAAAGCATTTTGATATATGTTACTTTATTTCCATTAACCAGTCTTTAAACACCTCTAGAGACCATACAGTGTTCCCTTTAGTGTTTACTTCCTGTCTGTCTTCTTCTGTTGTTCCCTTTAGTGTTTATTTCCTGTCTTTCTTCTTCTGCTGTTCCCTTTAGTGTTTACTTCCTTTCTGTCTTCTGCTGTTCCCTTTAGTGTTTACTTCCTGTCTGTTTTCTTCTGCTGTTCCCTTTAGTGTTTACTTCCTGTCTGTCTTCTTCTGTTGTTCCCTTTAGTGTTTACTTCCTGTCTGTCTTCTTCTGCTGTCTGTTTCTTCTGCTGTTCCCTTTAGTGTTTACTTCCTGTCTGTCTTCTTCTGCTGTTCCCTTTAGTGTTTACTTCCTGTCTGTCTTCTTCTGCTGTTCCCTTTAGTGTTTACTTCCTGTCTGTCTACTTCTGCTGTTCCCTTTAGTGTTTACTTCCTGTCTGTCTTCTTCTGCTGTTCCCTTTAATGTTTACTTCCTGTCTTCTTCTTCTACTGTTCCCATTAGTGTTTACTTCCTGCATGTCTTCTTCTGCTGTTCCCTGTAGTGCTTACTTCCTGTCTGTCTTATTCTGCTGTTCCCTTTAGTGTTTACTTCCTGTCGGTTTTCTTCTGCTGAATTCTCTGATGTCTTTTAACCTCTCGTCTTCTCTTGCTTTCTTTTTTTCCTGGGGACAGTTTAGCCATCATGAATCTAACGTTTTGTCTTCTCCACAAATATAAAAAGAAACGTAAAAAAGTTATTTCACAGTCTTTTCTGATGGACGAAAGTAATGAGTTTTTTTCACTCACTACTTTCTACGGATTGATATGACTGCACATAGTCCTTTGATCCTCCTTTACAACGGTCTGTTTTCCTTAGCGACGGTCTGCTCGTAGAAAATCTGGAATGTCCAAATTGACCAATCAGAATTGAGTATTCAACTAATCTGTGTAATCATGTCGCTTAAAGTCTTCCTGAGGGATTCACATGATCTACTACACCAGGTGAAATACTGCAAAAGGTCCCAGCTAATAATCTATACTGTATATATTTCAGTTTGAGTCTATGGCTGAACATCCTAGTCAAGTCAAGTTAATTTCATTTAACTTTATAATGTATACTATTGGGCTACTGTCTATAAACCCTGTGTTGCAGAAAGACAATAACTGATCCTTGAATCCTTGTATAACCTGGTGCATGTAAACAAAAGCATGTCTCAATGTTCCCAAGGTTAATGGCTATTTTCCAGGAATACAGCACTTTTTTCTTGAGCTATAGCTTATGGGAAATGATGAGCCTTTACCTATTGACACTTGCAGAGGATCAATAAAGATGCTGAGTAAATAATTTATGGAGAACAAAGAGAAAAATCTGTATCCAGGTGGGCCTGAAGTACCCCTCTCAGCAGATAATGAGGCACAGGGAAATATTGAGGATATGCAGTAAAATCCTAATTACAACCCTGAGCATGACACTTGAAGTGCTCTCGTTTGCACATCAATTGAAATGATAGCCTCGGCAGCTGTGTTGCTTATTCACACAGCTAAACAATAACGATCCACTCATGTAGAAATAACTAACAAGCTTTCTTTTTATTAAATGTTGCTATATCTTGTGTTTCCGCTCTGTTGTAGGGGAATGGACACGAGCGTGATTTCTTGGACGATAAACGAGTTTTCATCATGGACGTGTACAATCGCTACATATATCCTGAAGACAATGCTGCCAAAAGTGAGTGAAAGCACCACTCATTTCCTCATTCTTGCTTTTTAATCTTTGATTGTATAGACATTAGATAACCTTAATATACTGTATATATAACGTGTTATATTGTACATAGGTGCAGGAGCGGCTTTACCATGTGTGTTATCTGGAGTATCAAAGAACGGATTTCTATTTAATATATTCATATTATTCCCTTTAATTTAACATCATTTTAAAATGTACTCGCCAAGTAAAGATGTGATATGACTGCATATACAGTAGTCTCTCGATCCTCCTCTACAATGGTTTGTTCTCCCTAGCAACATTCTGCTCTCCCTAGCGACAGTCTGCTCTCCCTAGCGATGGCCTGTTCTCCCTAGCAACGGTCTATTCTCCCTAGCAACGGTCTGTTCGTGAAAAAAAACAGACCTCTGTAATGTCAGATTTAATTAATCAGAATTGAATATTTAACCAAGCCATGTAATAATATTGCTGATATGCTTCTAGTGGGAGGCGACAGTGCAACTTTTAGATCTTGCACGCCAAGTAAATATAAGATAAAGGCATTGTGACACTGCTTCTTCGGGCTCTTGCGTTCCCACATGTAGTGCTGGATGAAACTCAGGATTTTATTTTACGGAGGAAAAGTATATATTTGCAGTTCAAAAAGGGGCTTAACACAAACCAAGTCTACTGTTGTCAATGTGCATGCACCTATTGGCACTCTGGCTGTGTACAGAGGGAACATTTACTTTGTTCAAGTCTGTTAGAGGTGTAGGATTACTCCTGCTTCAATAATACAGCATATAAAGTAATAACCAAGCATGTGATGTGTGTAGAGAGTGTGTTCATACTGTAAGCTGTAATTTTGTGCAGTTTTAATACTGAGTTAAAACAGTGGTAGGCTGTATGTAAACGTTTAAATGAGGCTGCAGGTAATCATTCTTTCTGCCTTCAAATGCTTCAAATGGCACTTCCCCTCTGCATGGCACCCATTTGTGTGGGTTTGGCTGGGTCAAAGTTCAGGGTCTACATCTCTCCTGATGTCTGGTTAGAAGTTGATGTTTGAGTGGAGAGCGCTGCCTCCTCCAGCTCAAATGTTACATTACACTCTGGGCTATTTAAAGTCTGCTATGACTTCCCTCTGAAGGATCACTCACTCCATTATAACTCAGCAGGAAAGCTGTCACGCAGCAGTCTGTGCGACATTATAATCGTTGCTTTTTACACTAATCTGTCAATGCATTAAAGCTGATCTGACAACCACATGCTGCCATTTGGTCCCAATTCCAACAAAACTCTGGGGACCAAACGTCACAATCCTGCAATTCAAAATTGTTCCCCTCCTTCGGCTATCTTCTTCTCGACACGTAATTTAATTTTATAATTAATTTAAGAAAGTGAAATGAATGTACTTTCTGGTTGTTTAAGATAAAGCCTGCAGTTCCTTCTGCTTCATATGACACATTTCTTTCTCTCTACCTTCAAAGACCAAAGCTTACCATTTTTTGACATGATTTGGACAGAAATCAGTTTTATATTATTCCATTTTGCAGCTTAATTCTGTTTGAAATTTGGAACATGTGGTTTCCTTTTCAACTTTTTTCATTGTTTGCGTTAATTATTTAAAATGTACATACTAATTAATAATAAAATTGCTGCAGATTTGAGTATTCTTAATGGAAAAAACACAATTTCTTACCTGCGGGATCAAAGGAATACAGTTAGCAAGCCTTTACTCTGTGTTGAAAGAAATCATCTGCAGCAATGATAAGCCTTCATGTAGTGTTCCCATGTTGTGTGTTAAACTCTGATTGGGACACTAACTTAAACCACAGCCAATGAAGACAGAGTGGTAGTAGATCGACCATTTACTCTCACACTTCCTCATTAACATGTTGGTGAAGACTGTAAATTAAGACAATGTAAAATTGCTCAGTGTGTTCCTGTATTGTAAACAATTGTAAAACATGAAGTGCTTTCTTGCACTGCAGGTGGTAGTTAACATGCCTACGAGCATTGTTGCAATGTATATACAATTGTCCGAGGTGGGAAGTAGTGGAGTACAAATACTTCGTTACTGTACTTAAGTACATTGTTCTGGTATCAGTACTTTACTCCATTACTTATTTTTCTGATGACTTTTTACTTTCTACTTCTTACATTTTGAACACAAACACCTGTACTTTCTACTTCTTACATGTTGAACACAAATACCTGTACTTTCTACTTCTTACATTTTGAACACAAATACCTGTACTTTCTACTTCTTACATTTTGAACACAAATACCTGTACTTTCTACTTCTTACATGTTGAACTCAAATACCTGTACTTTCTACTTCTTACATGTTGAACACAAATACCTGTACTTTCTACTTCTTACATTTTCCAAACAGGCTGGTTCCTTTAGTCTGAATGTGTGTTTGGTGGCGTGATCATTATTATTTAGAGTCATTGCGTGCCTATTGATTTGAACACGATCCGTGTATCCATCATTTCCTGGTCTTCTCTAAAGAAGAGGGACCAATGAAAACGTTGTCATGTTGCCGTTGTTCAGCATGGAAACATTCATTAGCTAACAATGACATTATTGTTCTATTAATATAAAGGGAGGTCAGGTACTCTTTAAAACAGCTGCTAGTTATGGGTACTTTTTACTGAAGTACATTTCAAAGCCCTCTTTACTTTTACTTGAGTGAAGAAGTTTAGTCAGTACTTCTACTTTCACCAGAGTATTTTTAAACACGAGTATCTGTACTTCTACTTGAGTAAAGATGTGTGTACTTTTGCCATCTCTGACAATTGTAAGTAATTAGATTTTTAAACAAACTTCAAACTTTCTTTGGCTACAAATCTGTTAACAAGGCAAGGCATTCAAGGGCTTCAAGGGCAGCACACTTCTTATACATGGACATCCCAGGAGTATTGTGTTTGGGTTGGCTAACTGATGGCAGTAATTGTGGATATTGATTATGTCCCTGTTACTCCAGAAGCCATAAAGAGGAAGGTTGAGCTGGACTGGGGAACTGAAGACTCGGAGTATCTTCAGAAGGTGGAGCTCCACACAGAAGGATCTCTGAACGAGGTCAGACCCGATATCATCGTCTACAACGCGGGGACAGACGTCCTGGATGGAGACCCTCTGGGAGGACTCTCCATTTCTCCTCAGGTACTAAACCTGCTCCATCAGACAAGGATTTGGACAAAAAAATTGGGAATACAAAAATCTGTTTTCTGACTTTTTTTTAAGACATTTTGAAATACTTTAAAATAAATTCTCAGAAATATTCAGAAGTTTGACTTTTTCCATCAGAATTTTCACTAATTTCCTCCGAATTTGTATATTTGTACTGTGGATTTAAAAATAACTTTAAAAAGGGGATTAATAAAGTGGATTTTTCTTCTTCTTCTTTGATTTCTGACTTTTTTCTCAGACAATTCCAGAATTTTGACGTTTTTTCTCAGAATTTTGACTTTTTTCTCAGAAATGTTCAGAATTCTGACTTTTTTCTCAGATTTTTTAAGAATTTTGACTTTTTTCCTCAGAATTTTGACTTTTTTCTCAGAATTGTGTCTTTTCTTTTTCTCAGACATTTTCCATTCCTGACTTTTTTTATTAGAAATGTTCATAATTTTCCTCAGAAATGTGTATATTTGTAGAGTATATATAAAAATACCTTAAAAATCCGGATTAAAAAAGTGGATTCTCCTTCTCCTTCAGGGCATCGTTAAGAGAGATGAGATTGTGTTCAGGGCTGCGAGGCGTCGAGGCATCCCGATCCTCATGGTGACATCGGGGGGGTACCAGAAGAGAACCGCCCGCATCATCGCCGACTCCATCCTCAACCTGCATCGGGAGGCCCTGATTGGTCCAGAGGCTCTGGAGGGGGAGGGGTCATCGTCTATGGTGACCAGCATGATGAGCAGCTCTGGATCTACTGGGTCAACATCCACTGCTGTCTGAGATGCAATAATTCTGCCACTAACACTAACATGTGTTTCCTGTGAAGGTGTAACATGTGAAGGCACGGAAGTCACTTTTTAATCCTTTCGTAATTCTTTCTTGTTTTTTTTCAGAAATGTTCTGAATGTTGACTTTTTTTCTCAGTATTTTGACTTTTTTCTCAGAATTCTGTCTCTTTTTTTTTTATCAGACATTTTCAGAATTTTTACTTTTTTCTTCAGAATTTTTACTTTTTCCTTCAGAACTCTTTCTTTTCTTTTCCAGAAATGTTCAGAACTCTGACTTTTTTCTCAGACATTTTCAGAATTTTGACTTTTTTCTCAGAATTCTGTTTTTTTTTTCTGTCTCACTAATTCTGCCTCTAACACTAACATGTGTTTCCTCTGCAGGTGTAACATGTGAAGGCACTACAGTAACTTTATATTGTGCAGTAATTATGGTGTCAGGTTGTTGCCGCACACACAAAAGTTTAATTTAACTCAATACCAGACGGGGTTACCCAGTGCTTGACTGCACATTTAATCTAGCAAGATTTTGATTTATTTTTTACATTTTTACTCTATAGGTTGGCCATGAATCAAAGGGAATAATTCTGGAAAGAGAATAATTTTACTGCAACAACAGCACTATTCTGACTGCAGTCAATTTCATTAATAGTAATTTTAAAGTCGGAGAATGAAGGGTTTTATTTTTAATGTATGTTCGGGAAGCTTTTAGGAAGAGTCTTCTTTCATCTCAGGAAATGGAATAATGTCATATGTGAAATATATAAAATGCTATGGTATTGTAAACAGGTTTGAGGTTCTTTTAAATACGTGGACATTTTATGAATTATCCTGTTAATAGTTGTAGAGGTGAAACACAAGAAAAGAAGCACCTTAAAACTGTAGCTATCGAACTAACCTACTGATTTTTTGTATTATTAATTGTATACGGAAGAGGATAAAGGCCACATGTTGAAAATGTTTGAGATCTGACCAAAAGTTACAAGAAGAGTAAAAAGACTGGGATAAAAGTCAAAATTCTCAACATTTCTGAGAAAAAGTCAGAAATCTGAAAATGTCAGAGAAAAAAAGATAGAATTTTGAGAAAAAAATCAAAATGTCGCAGAAAAAAAGCTAGAATTTTGAGAAAAATGTAAAAATTCTGATCAAAAAACTTAGAAAAAAGTCAGAATTTTGAGCAGTAAAAAAGATTGACGTGGCCCTTATTCTCATCCCTAACAGTGTAAACATGTTTTAACCTCTAGATATTTGTTGTGATCATTAAATAGTTTATTCTTCATTATCCAGTGTTTCATTCATCAGGGTTAGTCATTACTTGTTCTACCTATAATCTGGGCCGTTCATGTTTAACAGGGAGTTGCCAATGATTTTACTGAAGGCTGTACTGTACCTCATACAGTACTGTTCTCCTAATTAAGAAAACATGTTAATGTGGCTGTGAACGTTTTAATAATGAAACTGTGTCTGCCTTGGCTGTGTCCTGGACATGTTTGAAGCAGTTTGGACACATTCATAATGAATGTGTGTAAGCAGTGTCAGTGCTAATTAGCTGAAGCCTTTGATCCGATGTGGTGCTTTTGAATGTGTCTACCTTTTAATTAGAACATCTCACTTTATTCTAAGCCGTCCTTAATACGAGATGAGATCACAGATTCCAGATCGGCAGCTCCTTCCTGTAAGACGATGTTGCCAAAAATAACACTGTGTTCAAAGCTGTACTGTATTTTTCTAAGGGCGTGTTTGTGGTTTGTGCTGAAATTAAAAACGACTTCTATGCATTCACACTGGTATTAAAAACATCTGTGACAACTATTGTGTCTTTTTTGGACGTTTTTTTTTTTTTTTTTAATCTTTGAATTTCTTGTATAACGCCAATGCTAAAGTTTGGAAAACCAAGATAATAAAACTGTTTTAATGTAGTTAAATGGAAAGGTTGAAGCAACATATGACACAGAGCGCTGTCAGAGTGCCAAAACCTGAGGAAAGGCGAAGAAAACAAGATGGAAATTGGTAGAAAAATATCCCTGGTCCCCGGCTTGAGCTTCAACCTCAGGATCCATGTATCTGTGATCCTCTCCAGAATGGAAGTAGTCATCACATACAGAGCATCAACTAGTTCCTGAACAGTGTCCTACACATGGGCGACTGTGGCTGTGAGGGAGTGTGGTCGTCTTTCAACCAGAAGGTTGTGGGTTCGATCCCAGCCCATGCAGTCAACATGTCGATGTATCCTTGGGCAAGATACTTAACCCTGAGTTGCTCCCGATGGCATGGCCAACGGTGTGTGAATGTGTGTNAAAATCTAAAAATTCTGACTTTTTATCAAAATCTAAAAATTCTGACTTTTTATCAAAATCTAAAAATTCTGACTTTCTCGTCAAAATGTTGGCTTTTTCTCAAAATCAAAAAATTCTGACTTTTTCTCAAAATGTGGACTTCTTCTCAATATTCAGACCTTTTCTCAAAATTCTGACTTTTTCTGAAAATATCAAAATTCTTACTTTTTCTCAAAATATCAAAATTCTGACTTTTTCTCAAAATTCTGACTTTCTCAAAAATATCACTGGTCCCCGGCTTGAGCTTGAATCTCAGGATCCATGTATCTGTGATCCTCTCCAGAATGGAAGTAGTCATCACATACAGAGCATCAACTAGTTCCTGAACAGTGTCCTTCACATGCTGATATCCAAGAGAGGGAGTTCCACAGTCACAAGATGGAGGAATAGAAAGCAGTATTCAATGTTTACTTCAGATTAGCTCCACGTCAGAAATGATCATGCTTGTCATATGTCTCTCTCCATAGAGGCTGAATCATCATGTTAATCACATAGCTATCATATGCCTCAAACAGTCCTGATGCTCTTCTAGGTAATCACACATCCTGTCATGTTCACAGCTACAGTTGATACCTTTGTTATCATGTTACTCTCAGATTGGAAGAGGACATTCAGTATTTTCACAACAGAAATATGATCAGACAGTTGTATAAGAATTAGCTCAGGTGTTTCTACCGAAATTAGCAATTACTGACATGCTTTGCATAATGTGAGATCTGGATTAGTTCCCACTACAAGCTGTTATTTATGCTTGTCCATCATCAGCTAATTCATAATACTGTCTTCCAGTCACATAGAAACCTTGTCTTTAAACAAAAACACAGAGCTGACTTAGAAAAACAATTTTTTTACAAACTTCAACTTAAAGTAGGAATTAAATTAAAGAATTGAATTCTCAACGCTGCCTCTGATAACCGTGGTTTGTGGGGGAAGTAGAAGTAGAGCAGTTCTGTCTTTTTTTCACAGCTCCAGTTTTTTAGAAAGGGAAGACTATTGCACACAGTCTGACTTAATATGATGTATTTTTGACAGTTTGCCGAAGGGAGTGAAGCAAGACTCTGCTTCAGAAATGTTTTCGGGTGGCAGAAGCAAAACGAAAGACTTAATAACAGGTTACATGAAGCTCAGCGCAAGTTCATCAAAGGAAGACTATACATTTCCATTCTACACACGGCTGAATTCCCCTCTTAAAATATACTAATATACTTTAACACCACTATTAACCATTAGCATATCATATGACACATGTCAATAAAAGCTCTTTAAGCAAAGTCTCTCCTGATTGAAATTAATTACTTGATTACTTAATCAGGATACACAAATAAAGTAACTATTCCTTTACAGTTACATAACAAAAAGACTTAATCAGAATACTGGTACAGTCAAGAAAATGGAGATAACTATCAGGTTTACAATATCACAATTAGTGCTGCGTACCGGTACGCCGAACCGGTACTGGACTTGTAAAAAGTTTCGGTTCAAGTCCGGTTAAAACCGGAACCAGGAACCGGTACTTACGTATATTCTCCTTTGTGTTCTAAACCATCTAAAACCTTCCATAGATAGAGAAATTTGCGCTGAGAAAAGACGAAAAACATTGTTTTGGCTTCTGATATGGCGGCCATTACTGAGCTCACGAAGTCTCGCAAAATATCGCAACTGCTCGCGAGATCTGTGTGACGTCAAGGGAAGCTGGCTTAGACATAGTGGACACTGACAGCGTGGGATGCTGGTTGCCATATATGGTAGTATAGCTAAGCTAACTCCTTTGTATGTATGGTGATATAGTGTCTGCCGAAAGAGCAACACTTCACCCAGACAATGTCAATATGCTGTTGTTCTTGAACAAGAACACATAGACTTGTACTCTTGCATATTGAGTCTTGTATGTACATCACTATGTATGTAGTTGTGTTGTGTAGTTAGTAACACATGTAGAGTTCTAGAAAAGACATGGTGTAGACACAAGTTGGAAGGGGGCACAATAAACCTGACGAGTTTGAATTTGAGTTGATTATGAGTTTATTTTCAATTGATAATTAGCTCACAATAAGTTCACTTTAGTTACTCACACAACTTGACACAAGTCCGGACTGAACCTGAACCTCTGGACTTGAGTCCGGACCTGAACCTGAATGTGAGTCCAGGTACACAGCACTAATCACAATACTCTGTAGACATACGGCCTGAATGTTCTTTTTTTGTTTTCATTGAGGCTACTTCCATTCTTCTTTGTTTTAAATAAATGATACTTAATTCCATCATACAGTAGGAGGGGTTTTATTTAGATAAAAGTTCACAGCTGGATCATACACTTTATCCATGCTCATATTTAAAAGAAACATTCCTTGATCCCTTACTGTGTTTCTTGGCGCTGGTGCACAGTCATCGCCCTGCTTTCCAAGGCTACAAATTAAGTTGAGACAGTTTACTTTAAAGGGTTTCCTTGTGTCCGCAATTCAACCCAAAATATTTTCCACGGTTTCTGTTATGCACCCCTATTTCCTCAGAATAAAGGATGACCTTGAGGAAGATGTATGTAGGAGAGATGCAGACGGGAAACCTCAAACCACAGAGACGTGGCTCCCTGCCTAGATTTAAACCAAACAACAATCCATCATTATCTCACAGAGACACACCGCAGTGTTTCAGTGTGTGGAGAAAGAGATAGCTTTACTGCAACAACATTATTAGTAAATCTGTTTCATCTGAGAGAATCTCCTTCCTCTTTCTGGGAAGATTGCATTTGCAATAAGTGTTTAAAGGTGTATAAGCCTGGCTCCAAACAGAGGTTAGAAGTAATGTAACTTAATGTACAGTAATGCCC